GGCAGGGAGTCTGCTTCTCCCTCTGACCCTCTTCCCTCTCGTGCTCTCTATCTCTCATTCTCTCTCTCTCAAATAAATAAATAAAATCTTTGAGAAAAAAAAAACAAAAAACAAAAATACACCAGGAGCAGAGATAACTCCTAACAGTTCAGAGAGTAGGATACTTATCCAGTTCTTCCTCTCTTTTACCTACAGTGTTCCTAATAATCTCAAGGTACATCACTGTCTCCACAAGCAGTGGAGAAAGATTTAACAAGAGAAATTATAAATGAACTGACTTAATTTTGGAAATCATTTACATTCTTCATTTTCCCATTATTTCTACCCGAAAACCACCACAAAATGAGCTGACTGAACCATCCAACTACAGTTCAAGATATACTTGGAATTAACACTGAAAAGAACCTGTTGAATATTTGCTCAAGGGGACGCCTGTGTGGCTTGGTCAGTTAAGCATCTGCCTTTGGCTTGGGTGATAATCCCAGGGTCCTGGGATGGAGTCCCGCCATCAGGCTCCTTGCTCAGTGGTGAACCTGCATCTCCCAATGCCTGCCTCTCTCTCTCTCTCTGACAAATAAATAAAATCTTAAAAAAAAAAAACAACAAAAAATAAACCTGCGCCAAGTCCACACAGTTAGCAAGTAACAGAAGCCAGTCCAACATGATATCAATTTCCCCAATGACAACTTTTCAATTATCCTCCATACTTAATAGTACATAAAAGTAATTCAATTCAGGGGTGCCTGGGTGGCTCACTCTGAGTGTCTGGCCTCAGCTCAGGTCATGATCCTGGGGTCCTGGGCTAGAGTCCCCTCCTTTGGCTCTATGCTCAGTGGGGAGCCGGCTTCTCCCTCTTCCTCTCCCCCCTGTTCGTGACCTCTCTCTCTCTCTCTCTCTCTCAGATAAAATCTTAAAAAAAAAAAAGTAATTCAACTCAAACATGGGAATGGAAACTTTTTAAATATCATTTTTATTTAATGAGATAAGGTATTTAATTCAAAAAATCCTTTAAGATGCACTAATGTTATCATTTCTAATTTTTACTAAAATTCTTGACTATTGTATTTTCTTAAACCCCAAATTATTTTGAGTCTTGAATCTGAGTTACTAGGCTTTTACACAGTACAGTTGACACTTGAACAATACGGGTTTGAATTGCATGGGTTCACTTATATGCAGATTTTTTTTCAGTAAGTACAGTATAAAACTGTAAATGTATTTCTTCTTATGGTTTTAATAACATTTTCTTTTCTCTAGCTTACTTTATTGTGAGAATACAGTATATAATACATGTCATGTGCAAAATAGGAGTTAATCAACTATTTTATTGGTAAGATTCCTAGTCAACAGTAGACTATTAGCAGTTAAGTTTTGGGGAGTCAAAAGTTATACACACTTTTTACTACAAAGAAGGTCAGGACCCCTAACCCCCATATTGTTTGAGGGTCAACCGTAGTTCTAAAAGATAGGTTACACTGATTAGATAAAGAAAGAATTTGAAGCACATGTCCACTTGTACTATATACATTCTTTAAAAAAAAAAAATCCAGTATTTTTTTTTACCTTCTCTTTTTATACTAACATTTTTGTATAAACATGAAAAATCTGCTCTAGGCATAAACAATCATTTAGACAGTAATCTCCCTCCAAATTCCTACCATTATCCTGGATGATACAAATTTCCTCATGGACAACTCATCTCAAGCTCTAGTCTCAGTTCCTTGTACTCCTTGTCCTATCCATTCCCACTTCTCAGACCAATTCCCACAGCAACATTCTAGACCTTGCTATCACTGTAACTATTCCAGCAATTTGGTCGGAAACAAAACATCATGACCATAATCTTCTACTGCATTCTTCTAATTACTCACACTGTACCACTACTCTACATCAATCTTTGTATTCCTTTCTCTGCATTAACACCCTGTTTTTTTTCTTCCCTAAACAATATGGCCCACCACTTTAATCAACCTCTTAGGAATATCCAAAATCCCTTTGCCCCATTGTTCTCTGAACATAGCTCCCTAGCAAAACTTCAACCCAGCATGCCCGGTTCTATACCCACCTTCCGGAGTACTGAAAACAAATCACAAGACTACACACAACTTACAAAAAAAGAAAATTCTTAACAGAAAAGATCCACAATTTGCCCAAGCTTCCATGGCAAGTAAATGGCAAAGATGGGATGCTAATCCAAGGAATGTGGCTCCAGAACTCATGCTATTAACTTTTACTCTATGCCCTTCAGTACCCTATCATAACTTACCATACTGCACTAACAATTTCTTTTCATCTTCTTGAAGATAGGGACCAAATCCACACTGTTCACTACATAATGCCTGGCATCAAGTAAGCACTCACTTATTTAATGAAATCACATCAGCAATAAAAGTTTTTTCTCCATACAACTGAAATTAAACATAACTAAAACAAAAGTTTATTTTTTTAATAGGAAGGGAAGTTTAAAATTCATGTGCATACACACACAAAATTTTAACCAGAACCCCAAAGTATGTAAAGTTGCTATGGTAGAAGGCTGTCTGTGCAAAATAGATCAAAAAGGATCTGCCTGTTTTGATCATGTTTCTATACCTAAATTATAGCTCCTTAAATTAAAAGCCAAGTCGTCCATGATTTCTCCACAGAAATCTATGACCAAGACTTTAACAAAGAAAACGTTCAATAGAACTTCTATTCCCCGATTGCTCATTTACTTCTTCATATTTAATCAAACAGCTTGATCATTTCTGCCACTGACATGTCTCTTCAGTCTTTTCTTTGTAGTCCCTTTACTATGGCTTAGGACCTTATTGCTACGACCTCAAGTAATTTGACAGCCCATCCTATGGTTTAACCTATTCAAGTAAGTCTTCTTGAATATTATTTTCAAATGATTTGCATAATATTCCTTAGCCTTGCTCAAAAATGTTTTATGGCTAACAGTTATCTAGAACAGTGTTTCGGTCCATTTTCTACAGTGACCTGGGCGGTGGGGGGGGGTCCTTATTTCATGGAGCTCAAGGAAAATTACAGGGAGCTGAGTACAAGGGTTTTCATTCTTATTCCAATTCTAGCAGAGTACAGTGAATTTGTGGGTATAATTGCTTTTGAATACATGATTCATAGTTAAAAACAATGACCTACAGGATAAAAATCACTTTGGCTCAAGATTTAAGAACCCACAAATCCCCTCTATATACCTGCCGTCTCTACTTCCTACTGTATCCCCGTAAGAACTGTCTGTTCAATACAAACTAATTTATTTCCCAAGATATCCCTTATCTTTTCCAACTCTCTAATTTTGCTCAATCCTTTTCTTTATGTGGAACATACTCCCCACTCCTGTCTCTTTATAAAATCCTGTATTCCCTTACAAATATAGCTTTTCCTAAAAAAAACTTCTAAATTCTAAAAACATTTAATACTAGAATTATTAGCAATTCATCGATTTGCCTTGTGACATAGTTTCTTTTATAATCTTAAAATTTGGGGGGCACCTGGGTGGCTCAGTCGTTGAGCGTCCAACTCTTGATTTTTAGCTCAGGTCATGGGATCCAGCCAGAGTCTAGCCCCGTGTCAGGCTCTGCACTCAGCAGGGAGTCTGCTTAAGATTTCCCCCCCATCCTTCTGCCCCTCCCCCCACTCATGCACGCTAATAAATCTTTAAAAATAATTATAATAACCTTAAATCTCCAAGTGTATCCTTTATAACTGACAAGCTTCTTATTTGTAAAGAGGAAAAAAAAACTTCAAGCAAAGACTTCTTTGTATTTGCCACAAAACTAAAAACACTGCTTTTAACATATGAAGTATTCAATAATTTAAGAATTTCTATCCCAGAAAGGTAGTGATCTGATTAAAGATCATCTGATTAAATGGAACGGCAAGAAGAAAGTAAAAATAACAGATCAGTTCTAGAAATAGGCTAGTTATTTCTGAAAGAGAAAATAAAATTTAATTCTGATCATCAGTGCACATTCAAGGGGTCCTCTACATAAAAATAAAAATTGTATTAAGTTCTGCCTACTACTTTATATATGACAATCTTTAAAAATCAAGTATGTTTACCTAATAAGTTTTAAATCTCAAAGATGATCAAAAGGAAATCTGTGCTAAAATATTTTATTAGCAATAATGAAAGACAGTCATTATAATTATAAAAAGGATATCAGCTTTAGCAAAGTCTCTTATCCCACACTGAGGTAATCCTGGTGTGTTCTGCATGTAGAAATCCAAGTAAAACCAATGGGCAAGTTCAATCTGAAAACACACTCGGATAGCATTGTCTCTTTCCTCGCTGGGAATATGCAAAATAAATCGGCTGTCAAAAACAAAAAACATGTTAAAATTACATTTACAAATGGTAATGATTTTAACCTACTTAACTGCTTCACCCCTGACCCACCAACATAAAAAAGGGACCAAGAGCAGAGCTGATCAAGGAAGGAAAATTTGGGGAAAATTACTAGAGGAAGAGGAGTCTGGAAGGCAGCTATGCTCACCACTACGGCACCAATGCTGCACAAGGAAGAGGAGGCTGGGAAAACAGTTTACCACAGGGATCTCCCCTATAATCGAATTTTTTTTAAGAGGCCTTCTAAGAATATATACAAATATATTCATTCATTCAAACAGGAAAGATGTTAGCTGCTTAATCTCCACATTTAGAGTATTACAAAGAGACATTAAAAAAATCAACTATTCATTAATAGACTAGACTTCTCAAATAACCTCATCTGCAGAACCTGAGTTCAAAATAAAGTATATTCACTTTTTAAAATCCTAAATTGTCTTTTCCAAGTACATCTGAAGGGAGTTGGAGAAATAGTTTATATATATAGTATAAATGTACTCTATTATTTGTATGTGATTGAGATAACGAACTCCTCTTTGTGCAACAAGTCAGAATTTAAAAATCTAAGTGAACGGGATTTTCAGCACTCATTAAGCAACTACCAATTGCTTCTTCCACTGCATAGCCTTTTTTGGTAATGACTTCAAGAGACAGACTGAACTACGTAAAAGAAATCCATTGGTTTTTTATTTTAAAAAATTAAAAATTAGTATCACCCAGCTTGATCACTCACACTATTCACTAGCAAATGTTCTTGGTGGTTTCCAAGTTTCAAATCAACCTCAAAAACATGCTTTTAAATTATAAAAATGTGACATTCCAATAGGGGAATGAATATGTAAATGGTTAAGACAAATAGGTACAATAACATACATTTCGGTATAGAAAAACTATGGGGAAAGGGAGCTTAAACAGCACATATACTAAGAATAAAATGTGTAACATGCACAACCTCTAAGATTACTCAATGAGTTCTTTATACCCAGTGATACCAAATTCTTGGAAATGTCCTAAACTATCGTCCATATACTACATATACTTCCTTTCCCTTGTCCATCTAGCAAATTCCTAATTTGTCCCTCATGACTAACACTACTCTCCTATGTAGATACACCAGCCTCCTCTGTACAGATTTACATACTCTGACTCCCACTCCTTTACAATTATGTGGCTTTTACTATTTTTGTCCACAAACTCCTCCAAATTAGTTCATTGAGATAATGTACTCTATCTTTGCATATTTTTATTCCCATAGTCTAGCAAACTGTTTGACATATACATTGAAAGTGACATACTGATAGTCATAATTTATCTTTTAAATGCTTACATGGAAAGGTTCCTAGTCTGGTTAGATGAAACAAACACTCCACTCTGTCCCTCCCATAAAATGCAGCTATTAAAACCTTAACAAAATGCATAGAGCAACTATTTGACGACTGTGAAAAGTAAACAGTAGCAGGAAGACTGAGGAAGACAGTATTCAAAGTGAATTTACCATTTTTCCACCCTCCAGTGTCGCCTGGCTGGACTGGGGTTTGGAGGTGAGCACCAGCAGGGACAGAGAGAGCCCCAGAAGCCTTCTAGTTTGGCCTCAAGGGTCGAGAGAGGAGTCTAAGCAGATCTCCTAAGACTTGGAGATAGTGGGGAAAATTCTTCCTTTCTTTTCTCCTTTCTCCCATGCCCCAGCCCCCAAGCAATGCCATCATGGTTAGAGGTGGCTGCAACAGTGGCTTTTAAAAGAGACCCGCAGAGGCTAAAACTCTAAGGGACAGGAAACTTCCTCTTGAATCTTAAGAACTGTGTGGTTCCAAGAGAGTAGGGCCAATCTCCACTGCTTTTATTCTTCTAACCTCCAGTGGCTCAGTCTCAGTGAACATGTGAAGTGTGTGCCAGAGTGGCTCTCTGGCTACAGAACCCAAAAGGACAGACCCAATTAGTAGCAGGGAGATAGCAAAAGAGAAGCAGCTCAGGAAAATGGTCCTGGGAAATTATTTATGAACTAAGGCTCAACCCCAAGCTACGCAAGTTTGGATTAGACTACGAACAACATACCACGAACATTGTGAACTGAGCTCTGAGACAGACCACTGCCCAAGTCTCAGAATGGCCAGTGGGTGGTAAAACAGAACAGCAATGCAAGAAAACTAACCTTCTTTTGTCTGATTTTATTTTACTTAATACATCTCTAAAATAAACTCTGGTTTTTATTTTCTCAGTTTGGGGCATTATTTCCATTATGGAATTCACTCTATTCCCACTCCCATTCTACACAGCCTTCTCATCTCTCCACCCACCCAACAAAATTCTATCAGTTTTGGTTAGGTTGTCCGCTTCAGCACTACTGACATTTTGAAGCAGGTACCTACGTTGAGAGGAGCTTTCCTGTGTACTGGATGATGTCCAGCAGCAACCCTAGCCTCTACCTATTCATGTCAACAGCACTCCCCACCAAGGTGTAACAACAAAAAGATCTCCAGATATTACCAAATGTTCCCTAAGGGGAGCAAAAATCATTCCCACTGATAACCAGTGTTGATCAGCATTCAGTCTTTACATTACTATGACTCTGTAAATGCAATTCACAACTAAGCCACGTGGTAAGCTAGGATTACTTTTCCTTTCCTGCACAATCCTTCGTTCTTCCTATAATTAATAAATGTCTTATCATTGCATTTACTTTGTGTTCTCTATCATACCTGTCACTAATTCAATCTTCCATTAGTTTCCTAAATTTTTTTCTCAGATGTTAATTCAAACACAGTTTCATCTTGAAGAATATCCTTGAGCCTTCTGATCTGTTCCAATCTGAGGTAGTTGTCATCTACACCTGATACACACCTATCATCCTATGCTGTCCTTTCACCGGCATCCCATGGTTCCCTAGGCCTCTATCCTATTAGATTTCATGTTTCTTGTATCCTGTCTTTCTCCTCAATTTTCTTTCTTCTTTCCTTTGAAGTATATCCTCCCAAACCTTCTGGAGGAAAAATGCAAGGGAGATAAATACAGATACATTCTGCATCTCAAATTATCTTTATCCTCATATTTAACAATTAGGCTAGATAAAAAAATTCCAGGTTGAAAATCATTTTCCTTCATAATTTTGAAGACAGTGCTATCTCCTGCCAACCTCCAATTCTGATACTGACTGAAGCCATTCAGATCCCTCTGGCGTATTTTTTTCAGTCTGGAAGATTTCAGGTTTTTCCTTGTCCCCAGTGTTCTGAAATTTCCCAGTTGTCTATTTTTTATCTACTGCACTGGCCATTCAATGGACCTTGCCTATTTGGAAACTCGCATCCCTCAGTGCTAAAGGACCTCATGGACGGATCCTCAGGATTCTTTACTCTCCTCTGCTATTTCCTACCTCTGATTCCTCCCCTCACCCCCACCTTCTGAGAAACATTCTCAACTTTATTTTGCAAACCATCTATTAAGATTTTTGGTTTTGCTCTCACATTTTTAATTTCCAAATGCTAGTTTTAATTGTTTAAATTATGCTTTTACAGATTATCCTGTTATTCGATGACTGTAAAACTCTACCTCTCTAAGGAGATCAATATGGGTTTTTTTTTCTCTACCTGCATAGTTTGATTCTTCCCAGTTGCTCTTTTTTCTTTTAGTTTTAAGTTCTACCTTTCATATTAAGAGGCCTATTCAGATGTTCACATTTAAGTGACAGACCACAAAGCTATTTAGGAAGGTTGTCAAACTATCAGGCACCATTTATTAATTTTTTTTAAGATTTTATTTATTTATTTGCCAGAGAGAGAGAGAGAAAGAGAGCACAGCCGGGGGAGCAGCAGGCAGAGGGAGAGGTAGAAGCAGACTTCCCGCTGAGCAGGGAGCCTGATGCGGGGCTGGATCCCAGGACCTTGGGATCATGACCTGAGCCAAAGGGAGATGCTTAATCGACTGAGCCACCCAGCCATCCCTATCAGGAACCATTTAAAGTTGAGTGATCAGGCTGAGCCATTTAACTGAGGAACAAACCACCAATATCAGTATCTTTAGGTCTATCCTCATGAGTTAGTCCGATCACTGAAAGATTCTTCCCATCTTGGACCTGGAGGGTAAAGGCCAAGCTCTGCCACGTTCTAGGAGCTGAGCAAGGGAAGAAGGCTGAGGGTTTTCAGTATGTTTACAGGATATATAAATTCAGTTCTGCCATTTTTCAATATGCTCTTATTCTAGAGTAGATTGACACTATTACACTAGTCTCTCATTCGGGTCTATTAGGTCCGCTAAGTCATATACAACATTCCCTTTTGGTTACCAAATTTTGTTGCTCCTCTTTTCACCCATTCTTCCTTTCCTTGTGGCTTTATATATTCAAGTTTGTTTTAAACTTTACTCTTTTAGTGGAATTGATGTTTGCATACAACCTACTATAACTTTAACCAAAAATTTTCATTTCTAGTTAAGTTTCTAGACACTAACCACAACCTAAAATGTGGTAAGAAAGTACATAGGACAAAGAAATTCAGGGCACCTCGGTGGCTCAGTTGGTTAAGCGACTGCCTTCGGCTCAGGTCATGATCCTGGAGTCCCAGGATCGAGTCCCACATCGGGCTCTCTGCTCAGCAGGGAGTCTGCTTCTCCCTCTGACCCTCTTCCCTCCCGTGCTCTCTATCTCTCATTCTCTCTCTCTCAAATAAATAAATAAAATCTTTAAAAAAAAAAAAAAGAAGTTCAATCTCATTCCCATCCAATCCAGAAAAGCCTCAAGTGAAGAAAGGTAAGCTGGAAATGGGAATAAGAAATAGGACTTTAAAAAAAGGAGAAACAGGGTGCTTGAGTGGCTCAGTCAGTTGAGCAGCTGCCTTCGGCTCAGGTCATGATCCTGGAGTCCCACATCGGGCGCCCTGCTCAGTGGGGAGCCTCTTCTCCCTCTGCCTGCTGCTCCCCCTGCTTGTGTTCTCTCTCTCGCTCATTCTATCTCAAATAAATAAATTAAATCTAAAAAA